CAATCCCACGATCTTTCCAAGTTCGTTACAATGCTTACACGCAAAGAGTCGAGGTGCTAGATCGAGTTTCTGATCTACAAAAAATGGTTCGAGACATCAGGAGTGAGTATATAGCAATAATTTTCGAATGCTTAATACGTAATACTTCGATAATAATAAGTTGTTCCAGGTGAAATCACCACACTGGAAGACGCGCTTGGAAAAGTGAGTGTTGCCAGCAAATAAAGTCCAATTTACAAAACGAAGAAAGTCACTTACTAGAATGGGCAGCACTGAAAGGATCATTCATTGTTCAATTATAATATGCTCATATTTTGCTCCCATTTGATGCAAGTAAATTTGCATATGTCCAAATCAATGAATTTTTTTACATCCCAACTTCTTTCTCTTTGCACTTGCGCGATACTCCTTATGCTGTTTGTAACAGATACAACAGCGATGAATATTTTGTTTGCTCAAAGTGCTTAGATTCAATGTGATCGCACTGAACTATTGCTGTGCAAACGCAGGACGAAAATAAAAATTTAAGAGCGAAAAAACTGATACAGTGGAATAAATCACAAGCATGAAACTTCAAGGCTTTCTTGGGTCTAACAAGGGTAGGATAAAGGTCGAAGTCGAAATCTGGAATGAGCCCTATATTATGAAACCACCCTCGGTAGTAATCTCAAAACTACTTTCGCTGCCAGTCGGTTTTGTGAGGAGTTATGAGGCCATTTTCTCCCGCGCAAACACGCTCCTATATCAAGCACAATACTAGAAGATGCTTATAAGGTGTCGCAGAAATATGTGCACACTGTTTGGTCATTGAATTTTATAACTAATAAATTTCATCCCATAAAAGGTTCTGTCAACCTTCAGCTAATTCTGGATCTTCACTCAACTTGAATTTACAATATGAAGCAATTCCTCTTCCGCTTTAGCTAAGATGTTGGAACTTCTAGAACACTACAGAGAAATCTGCAAATTTGGGTAACAGTGCTTTCCCGCATACTAGCATCACAACGAAACTCTACATAGTCTCGAAGCTTTTCTGTTTATGTGATCACATCTGAAGAACTACTGAGTGATAGTGATTACGGCATACCTTGCACGACTTATAAAGAAGCATTACGGTGGATCATGAATTACATATTCAGATCGAGCTACTCTTCTAACTTCTCTAAGTTGCTGGAAATTCGTCCACTCCGCAAAAGATTGCAAAGTGCGAAAAATTTTCAAGCATTAAATTTATCGCCATGTGTGCCAGGAACTGACTGGCTAACCAAAAGAAGAACTATTTTTCCGAATCTTACCTTTTCGACTTCATTCCCTCCCACTCACATACTTCCCGTGTAGAAAGTCTTTCAAACTGCTCGCTTATCTTACTCCATATCGAAGATAATGGCTTATATCCTTGAAGTTAACCACTTGAGAGAAACGCTCACTGCGAGCGATAGCAACAAGAATATTTACTTGAGCATTTGTACATACAGCTACATAACACTAGTAACTACAAAAGTGAAATTCATGTGAAAACACATTTCTTCCGATAGGGAAGTAATGATGTTACAGCGCTCGAGCACATGGCTGCGGTCTGTTCAGTGGTACGATTAATTGCTGTAGGCGAGAGAGATCACTCAAAACCCCGCCGTCTTCCCCGCCAAATGGATCATAAAATTTCAAGCGTTCCCTGATTGTTCGGAGAGATCATGGGGTATAGTACATTACAAGGGCATGTTTGCATCAAGAACGAGACGAAAATCCTTGAAGAAGTGCCTTCCGAGTTGGGACCACAAGGAGATTCGCTTCGAAATTTCTTTTGTGTTCCGATTTCGTAGTGGGTCCGGATCAAGCCGAATTGATAGTGATGAAAATCGTTTGCCAGTGGACTTTGATATGTTCTGAATATTGAAGCTATGCAAAATATTCCAAATATACCCACTTCCAACCTTTAGCATGATTTTAGCATTGTCAGGTGTTTCAGCATGGTAGAAAAGTAGACAATGCCCTGGTTCCAGTGTTCCCAGTATTTCTACACAACTCCAGTAACCGTCGGATGAGACCTGCATATGATGAAGTTGAGAAAAGTTCAATCAATGTTTTTGTACCTTTTTGAGGTTGGAAGTTTCCAAAGCTATATTGAACATGTTTCCATTTCTGACTTTATAAAGTCGAATCTCTTCATCCATGATCAAAACGCACACGCCTTCCCAAATCTTCAAGACACCGTCTTGTAGTGTGAACCAACCGGGAGTTTCGTCATCCATGGGCAAAATCTGTAAAACAGGAAGATAACAGAAAGAAATGAGTATGCATAAAAGAAGAATTAGGTTGGCGGATAATTTCTGTTACACTATTATGTTTATTATTCAAAAATTAGGAACTTTCAAAATTCTCATGTTCAAGGTTTGTTGGCAGGGTGCAAAGGTTTATCCAATAATACTGTCACACGGTGGTCCATACACGCTTTAATGGTAGGAGTACACGGTAGGAGTTTGATGGACATTTTTGTCAACGGGCTGGCATTTTTTCAGGTGATCGGGGGAGTCTGGGATGTAGTAATCGGGCAGGGTATCGTCCATAGTTTTTAGCAAATATGGGAATGGCACAGTCATGTCCGCACATATTCACATGAGCTAGATGGTGTGCCACGTCAGCGCACATTTGCATTTCATAACGAAAAACAAATTCTAAGAATTTACTGAAAATCATTTCCAGCCTTTCATGTTAAATCCTAAACTGCACATAAAAAAATTTTCCACGAACTAGCTTTTTAAATCTCTTTTCACCGCTTGTTTTGGCATGCTAGCGACAAGGTGCTGCCATAGAGACAGCGCGCAAATACATTCTAATCAAATCATAGGAAAAAATTGAATCCAATTTGAATCCAATTTGAAGAAAGAGAG